TGAACACAGTTTCTATTGGAAATATAGGATCTAATTATTTACTAAATAAAAGAATTACACAACTTCCAGTATATTACCACAATATAATTGGTCATCCTGCAACTTTCTTCACTCTTTTCTGAATGAAAGCTGAGCAAACATTCCAGAACAATTGAAGGTACTTAACCAATTTGGATGATCTCAAAAATCATCCTGTATCAACCTGATTAATACATGGATGGAAGACTACCAGACAATCCTGGAAACTGTAAGATGATCTGAGAAGTGAAAGGCAGTTGCAAGCCACTTCCATAAGGTTCCCAACAAAACATGGATATGTTTATGTGGTCACAAGGAATCCAACTCAAAGACTTTAAACACATACTGTGACAGTGGAATATGCAATTTTCTGGATGAGTTGAAGTCCTCCCACATAACTAATGGTGAAGGATGCTGGGAATTTTATTTCAGAACAACTAAATGGCTACAGGATCCTGATTTTTAGTATGAAACCATCACCTCTACCTTTCCCAAACCTGTGGTAAGCAAGCCATCTGTCATCTAAATAACAAGTTCTGCATTCCATTCTTCCTTCCCTTCTCAGGGGATAATAATCTATCTAATCAGAGTATTGGGAAGATTATGAAAATGATATGTGTGAAGCTTCAATTCTGTCAAACTATGTATGTTCCCACTTTCCTCCACTTGGTGGAGCCCTCAATGTTGGCAAGACATTATGGATGACCAATTACTTATAAAACTTGTCATTTTATATTAAAAACACCGAACACTTTTATTAGTTGTGTAAATAATGAATTAGGTTTAGTGGATTAATATCTTTTAATATATGACAGGGAGAAGCGATAATGCAATTTTAATATCAACGATGAAGGAAATTCAACTGCAGATAGTTCATACTCTACTGGAAGACTAGTGAAGCTTTCTACAGTAATCAAATTGAGGATCATTTTTAGCGGTAACAGCAACTGGATTAAACTTCAGTTAAATTCTAATATTAGCAATTATTAATATTGATTTTGGGGAACCTGCTTCTGTATTCAGGGATGCTACTGACAAACAGCACGAAGGAATGATACTTTAATGATGTTCATCACAATATTACATTGTATCATATGCAATTGAAATTAGCCCAGGAATTTATAAATTTCCCATATGAAAATTGGCTAAATCTAGCATGTCAGTTCAGATGAGCTGAAGGCCAGCTGGGATACTGCAGGTTTGCCATGATATCTCACTCATTTATAAGCCTTATGGACAAAATGATTAACTTTTTTAAAAATGGAACATTGTATCAGTGAACCAAATAAGCTGAAAGATTCTTGAACTGCTAATAATTGGCAAATTTGTATCACTGCCATTTTGTAACTACCTTGCAATGACACTGCTAATGGGAAATTAATAGCACATTCCTAGCAATTGTATACTGTTGAGCATTGAGGAAAATGGCCAAAGCAAGAATACTTCTTCTGTATATGTAAAGATTGGACTTGGGCCATTAATAAACGACTACTATACAATTTTCTTTGATTTGAGAAAATATATCACCTTTATAAGTAGCAGCATTTTCTTTTGGATAAAATATTATTATTTCAGTTTATGAAATAACAGGGGTATGGATATAAAAAAAACCAGAAGTTAAGTGTGATTTATCCATAATATCCAGGAGAATCAGGATATTAGAAAACGAAAAAAGGCTTATGTTGCATAAGAGAGAAAGGAATAACTTTGTGTAATTTCCTATGGAACTGTCAGAATGCAGACGATCTATTTAGAACCAAGTCTCACTGAACTGAACAGAACACAGTCCCAAGAAATTAAGCAAAGAAATAAAGCCCTAGAGATAGGAGATACTAGAACTTTGGATGATATCCAAGACCAAAACAAGGTTTCTAAGGCCAAATTATTTAACAGCAGTACCAGCAAACTGTATCTCCCTAGCCTATCTTTAATAGAAGTAAAATAAAGTTGGCTACAACTTCAAGCATCTTCTTTTAGGAAAGACTTCTCCACTCATAGACTCAAAATTTCAAAATTCTATGTTAATATATTTTGATTCTGGGGTTCAGTTGATATAATCTTTGGAATTTGCTGATCAATATTTATAAAGCAGTGTTTTTATGACACCTCGTTGTGCCTATGATTTAGGAATAATATAATAAAGAAAATAGAAAAAAAATAGTCCATGCAAAATCATAAATGCTAGAAGATTCCTTACTTAACCCCTGGACATTGTTACTTAACTATCACTCACAATCATGATTGATGTTTATTTCCCCTCCTTGCACAACCATAAATTAGAATATTTGCATATGGACACTCATGAAGTACCCTATCTTCACTTGTGCAGCAACAATGCTAGAATAATGGCCTTACCTATACTTCTGGTGTTTAATGTGTAATCTTGAAGTCTGGATTTAGAAATATTAAAAAAGAGACTAACCTGACAATCAACCAATTGATTTCTCCAGACTCATCTAGCTCCATCCTCAATTGAATGCATGCACTTATATCATTTGCATGTAAGTTATTCCAAATGCCTTGAGCTTCCGAGGTTCTGGTATGATTTCTGAATAGATTGCTTCTCTTTAGCTTCTTTGCTCTCTGGCTGCAGAATGAGAAGGAAACATTAATGTTATATGATACTCACCTAGTTTATTAATAGATATTTGTAAGCTGTATATCCCACATTTCAGTATTTAGAAATAGATCTACATTTTAATAGTAATTGTGAAACTACTGCAATGTAACTAAGGTGATGCCTTGTGGTGTTACCTGGAGCCTGCAGCTCTTAAAAGGAGAAGGATTTTTGTGATCTAAGATCCACCTGATGGGGCTCCTGAAAACATCCAGGAATGGGATTGGGAGTTGGGTCCAGGCAATGGTCAATGTCACTTTGACGGAAGAAGGCTCAGTGGCTTTGGAGGCAGTGCTCCATACATTCAAAGGCCAGCCCAGCTCCTGCCCTATCTCTGAAACTCCATTCTTGGGAAGATTGTTGAGAAAGTAGTGGGGCAACAACTACAAAAACCTTTGGAGGAAACCCAAAGGTGCTTTTCCAAGAGGCAACTGGACTTTCTGGTTTTACTTTGAAGATGTTTTGCTTCTCATCCAAGAAGTTTCTTCAGCATTCCCCACCATCCAGTCAGAGCTGAAGAAGCTTCTTGGATGACAAGCGAAAACATCTTCAAAGAAAAACCAGAAAGTCCAGTTGCCTCTTGAAAAAACACTATTGGGACAACCATGACCTGGATGACTGAGTATCTCCATAGACACTCTGGAGGAAACAGATTACCTGGGCTCATTACAGTTTGGATTTAGGTCTTGATATGAAACTACTGGAAATACATTAGTTTCTCCGGTGGGATTTGGATGAATAGAACATAATCATTCTTTTCCTGTTGGACGTTTAGTTCTCTTAACTATGTTACCCTTCCGTATTGCCTACAAGGAGACATTGCATTGTGGTGGCTTCACTCTTCAACCACCTGAGAAATCCTATAAATTCATGCCAACCAAGGATGGAAAGAAGGGGCACTGGAGCATCCTTAGTTTATCCCAAAGGATGAAGGAGCTCCGAAGCCACATGTAATCCATTCGATTCTATTAAAGGTAAAGGTTCCCCCGCACATGTGTGCTAGTCATTTCCAGCTCTAGGGGGCGGTGCTCATCTCTGTTTCTAAGATGAAGAGCCAGCGCTGTCCAAAGACATCTCTGTGGTCATGTGACTAAACGCCAAAGGTACATGGAGCGCTGTTACCTTCCCGCCAAAGTGGTCCCTATTTTTCTACTTGCATTTTTTTACATGCTTTAGAACTGCTAGGTTGGCAGAAGCTGGGACAAGTAACAGGAGCTCACTCCGTTACGCAGCACTAGGGATTCGGGCTGCTGAACTGCCGACCTTCTGATTGACAAGCTCAGCATCTTAGCCACTGAGCCACAACATTCCCTATCCATTAGGATGGTGCTCCTAAGTTAATGGAATCACTCATATCAGTAAAACTTAGATAATGGAGCTTTCTTATTACACAAGGAATATGATTCAGAAGGCTACTGCCACAGATAGGAATAAAGAACAAAATGTTTCCCAATTCCATATTGCAGAAGCTTACCAGACTATAGTTGAATTTTACTTCCAGGTTAGCTTCTTCTTCTTCAGTGGTGAGGAACAGACTGAGGGGGTGGGTGAAGCAGAGCAAAGGTGCTGCTTCTGTCCTGTCCAGTGGTCTGGATCTTCTGCTTGCCCCACTAGAAGAAGCAGATCCTCCTTTCCACTGGAGCTTATCTTTTCTTACCAAAAAGGGGCCACTCCCCATTTGTAGATGATCACAACAAGCCACTGCAACCTCTTTTTCCTGCAATGCCCCTTTGGTTGTGTGTGTTTTTTGCTTTTGCCTTCATCTGGTTCCCACTCTAAGAACAAGGCAGACTTAACAAGTCTCTCTTTATATTGGTATTTCCGCAGCACTTTCCCCCACATTTTGGCACCATCCAAGGACAGCCTCGAGCTATGTAAAATCTGTTCCGTTTTGTCATTTGTCACCTAACTTGGATGAAAGCCAGTGATCTGAAGCAGAGAATAACCGAAGTAGAATAAAGCCAGGGATTGGCAACTGGGAGCGGCAAATTTCACGCAGGTATTCTTTTCTGCCCACTCAAGGATGCCTTAGAATGGTTCTTCAAAATCAACGGTGGATAAAACCCTCGGGGAGGGGGGGGGAAGAGGGGGGGTTTAAAGATATTTCTACCGATTTCACTACCATCCTAAATCGAAGCGTCCGTGCATAAAGTAATGCCTAACGCCGATTATGCTAAGTAGAGTTCAAAGGTGTCTATTTGCATGGCTAAGAGGAGGAAAGAAACATCAGCCAGGGATTTGTTTTGTTTTGGGGGTGGGGGGAGAAGCCACACGGGATTTTTAATGCCCCGATCAAGGGTTTAAGCGCTCCGCAGCAACCCTTGGCTCATTACGAATGAACCGACCCCAGTTTGCCGTCCAAGCTGTATTTCTCTCCCACCATTCCGTGCTGCTGCCTCCTACTCTGTTCCCGCTCAAAGAAAGAGCTCTTTGAAATCAGCAGCACAATGTGCCGCTCTCTCCCATCTTTTATTCTAAACGGACCGAATCCTTTGTGCTTCCCAAACCGGGATGGGAGGAGGGAGGAGCGCTCGGAGATGGCCGGCCGCCCATCTCACCCCTTCGCCAAGATTGCTCCTCGTCGTCGCCACGACCCCCACGCCTGATCCCGAAGGGCTCTTTCGGCATTCGGGGCGTGCCTAAGGATCTCCCACTTTCTTGGAAGCGCAATCCTCCCCCCCCCCGCACGCCACCCCCCCGGAAAGACATCGGCCAGCGACGGCCCCACCTCTCGACGAGCCGTTGCCGCTTTAAGCGGAAGACCATGCTGGGCGGTGGGTTGGGTCCCTGCGCTCCCCCTCGCCTCCCCCACGTGGTCTCGGTTCTTGTGAATTTCAATCGCTGGAGGGTCTGTGTACAGACACCGGCCCCGCAGCCGAGGCTGGGGCGTCCGTCCGGAATCGGGGTTCCTCCTCCTCCTCCTCCTTACGCGGGATCCTCCCTGCCAGCCTTTGAGGCAGGCTCCTGCCGGAATCTGGAACCGGCCACCGGCAGCCACCATGAACCAAGGCAGCCCCGATCGGATGAGCCGCGGGGTAGCGCAGCTACCGAGTCCCGGAGCGGCGGACTGAAATCGCGGCAGGCTCCAAGCTCAGCACCAGCCGCGGGAGGAGAATGCAACGAGCGGGTCTGGCCGGGCTGGGCTCCGTGGCCGTGCTCTGGCTGCTAGGTTTGGCTTCCCTGGTGGGGCTGTGGAGCGGACGGATCGGGGACCCGAGGACGAGCGAACTGAAGTTCCCGCAGGAGCGAGCCGACTCGGCGTTCGGCAGCATCCAAGTAGCGCCGGCAGCAGCGAGCCGGCCCCTCCAGACAAGTCGCCTCCAAGCCGCCCAGAAAACTTTCCGAGCTCTGCTCACGCTACCGGGACAGTCGACGGAGCTCCAGGAGGGGCAGGGAGAAAGCGGGCAGGAGCCGCCGCTTCCTTCGGCTCGCCCTCGGCGGGAGAGGCAAGGAGCAATGGGAGCCGAGGAGCAGTTTCCCTTCTTGCCGGTGCGCGGCGGCGTTTTCTGGAGCCAGACCTTGGAGGCTCAGGTACCGCCGGGCTTTTCGGCGGAGGAGACCGCCTCGTGGCTGCGGGCGGCCCGGGAAGCGCGCGTCGTGTCGCTCGAGCGCGGCGGCTGCGGCCGCAGCTCCAACCGGCTGGCCCGGTTATCGGACGGGAGCCGCGCCTGCGTGCGCTACGGCATCAACCCGGAGCAGATCCAGGGCGAGGCGCTCTCCTATCACCTGGCGGGGCTGCTGGGCATTCAGGAGCGGCTGCCGCCTCTGGCTCTCTCCCGGGTGGAAGCCCGCGGCGGGCAGTGGGCGGAAGTGCGCGACGAGCTGCGCGGCTCCCATTGGGCCGAGGGGGCCGTGGTGAGTCTGGCGCGGTGGGTGGACAATCTGACCGACGTGGTGGCCCCCGCCCCCTGGCAAGCTGAGGCGGGGGCGCCGGCGGCCGGCCGGAGGTTGCAGCCCCTGGCGGCGGGGGAGCTGAGAGGCCTCAGCCAGGCGCAGCTGGTGGAGCTGGTGCAGTGGAGCGACTTGATTCTCTTCGACTATCTCACGGCCAACTTCGACCGGCTGGTCAGCAACCTGTTTAGCCTGCAGTGGGACCCGCGCGTCATGCATCGGGCCACCAGCAACCTCCACCGGGCCCCCAACGGCGGGTTGGTTTTCCTCGACAACGAGGCCGGCCTGGTGCACGGCTACCGGCTGCTCGCCATGTGGGACAAATACAACGAGCCTTTGCTGCGCTCCGTCTGCGTCTTCCGCGAGGCCACCGCCCAGAGAGTGCGGGAGTTGCACCGCCTGCGCAACGCAGCGTCCGAGCTGCTCAGGCTCTACCGGACTCGGGAACCCCTGGCCGAGATTCTCGGCTTCCTCTCCGACCAGCAAGCCCAGATGCTTCAGGAGCGTATCGACTTTGTCCATAAGCACATTTTGCACTGCAAAGCCAAGGCCGCCGCTCCGTGATCTTCTCTGGCTGGCGAAACCGCCTGGATTTATGAGACTCGGAAGAGATTCAAGAATGGGGAGAAGGACGCCTGAAGGGGTTTTTTCCCGCCATTCACCGAGGCCTGGGGATCAATATCTCTAAAGGAAATCAAGGCTGGAACCACCCCCACCCCTTCCTTGGGGGTTGACAGGAACCTCTCCCCGCAGAAGGTTCCTGAGATTTCACAGAGGAATATGTGGCAAGCCCAGCTAAAAATGAACACCATTCAGAGTTCTCTTTTGTGAGGATGAGTAGCCAGTAGCTGAACTAGTTCTTGTCTCTCAGATACTTTGTTTCTGGAATCTATCTGCAGAATGTGATCCTTCTTTATCTGACACTCCTAGTGTTAAACTCCCAACTCCTGAAGAAAAAAGCGCCTTGCTGCCAATTTCACTCCTCTTGTGACCGCTGGGGAGGCCTGGATGTTTGGGAGAGATGCACTCACATGGCCTTCTGCACCCTGGGAACCTCCTAGATGGATTGAACCACATCTTACAGCAGGCCCCAGCTGGCATGTTGGCTAAGGGTGATAGAAGTTGTAATCCTGTTCAACAGGAGGGTGCCATATTAAAGCTGGATTAAAATGTCATAACACCCCCACCCATTTTTAAATATTAGATGTAACAATGCCTCCTTCTACCCCTGATCTGCACTATTGCTTATTACAGAAAAAGGTCAAAAATATCTGCAGTTTTTGTTAGAATTGCTGTGAAGATGCTGAGTAGCCGGGAGTTAGAAACATAGCTGAGTTTAAGAGATGATTCATGCCTTTGATATAATCTATACATAAAAAATTGATTTATATGTCACTGTGTCATTTCTCTTACCGGATGTTAAGAGCTTCTCTTAACAATTCAAATTAAAAGGTTCTGTCCTTCCAGTGTAAGTCCCTCCACTTACACTGTTAATTTAATTTCTAGATACTGTAGCTCCACTTACAGAACAGCATTTTGTAGTGAATTTCCAGCCAGCATGGACAGCAACAAAATCAACAGTTGTAATAAGTGTGCAGAAAAGTCACTGTTGTTAACACCTTTTATCCCTTAACAGTTAATAGCATTTGGAGGGGAAAAAGTGGTTCCACAGCATTTCTGTTTTATATGTAACCCACTACTGTATAATAAAATGGGGGTGGGGGATTTCCAGGTTTATAGTATTGTCAGTGTAGTAAATTTTGATGCATTAATTTGGAGAAGAGAAAATCAGTTTCTTGCACTTTACTTTCTTTTTATATATACATATATATATATATATATATATATACATACAAAATCTTGTTATTTAAAAAAAGTCTGCATTTTAGGTACATGATATATGTTCTTAAGCCTTTCTGTAATATACTAAAGAACTGGATATTTCAGTAAAGATGTGTTAATGTTTTGCCTCTTTTGTATCCAAGTTTTGGATTTCATTGTTCTATGAAGTATTTCTTTTTCCATAATTTGAATATTTTTCTTTAGTCCAATAGGGTGAGTGATAGAGTTATTCCACACAGTAGGACTTATTTTTTGTAGATGGATTTCCTGCATTAAAGTATTCAAAATCAGATGAGCACCACAGGCTATATAAAACATACACCTTGTAGATTTTACTGATCTGTATAAGTGTCCTTCCACATGCTTCCTAGAAAATAATCATTCTGCATTGTTTTGATTCTATCAGTTCAAATTTCAGCACAGCCTACTCTTGACTGTTTCACTGGTGTAAAAATCATCCTTCAGAATTATCAAAACACCGTACTTTTGACTATGAGCAATTTTTAACAGCTGTTAAATTTCTTTTCCAGTTTGGTTTCTGGCAAACAAGTTACAAATGAAAAATCCCTGCCAATAATAATTTAGGACTTTGTTTTAGCTTAGCTTCTCTTTTTACTGTGGTGGTGGTACCTACAGAAGCTAAAATTAATAGTATCATGAGTTACTAAGGTTCAGTGCTTCAATCTAGCAATTATGAATGGATAGGACAGGACAGTCCTCTTGAGTTTTAATGAATTAGCTGACGGAATTTTTTAGAAATTTTTGTATATGGATATGCTGGTGTGGACTGATAGCTTATGCTATGTATCAGAAACAATATTGGGGCTCAGATCTTCTAGAGCATATATAGTGTTATAGATCAGAGGCAGAAAGAATTCTGTAAGAAGGTAGAATAAGTGGGTAGAACATGAGTTCTGGAATTCTTTCCAGTTCTGCAGTGGTCATAGTTGGTGTGTATATTTTTGTCTGTGTAATGCACAGAAGCATTTCTATTCTCCCCTTGCAGGGCATCTTGCCTGGTTATATGTATGTGTACCCTGGCAATCACAGGGCAGGTTGTGTATATGCTTTTCTAGGTCACGTGACCAGGAGAGATGTAAACCAGAAAAATTTCTGGTGACAAAATTTTATGCAGAAAAAAAATCACGGGGGATAGTTTTTAAAAAAAAACTGGAAAGTGGGAAATTCATCGTTTTTCCTTCCCCGACATAAAATACTGTAGCCTAAATAGTTGAGCAATCTATGGATATCGGGATGGATACGTTAATAGGAATAATTTGCAAGTAAACTTTTCTGGAAAATTTTCCAATCCAGTTTTTTTCTCTGTTGACCAAGAGCGAAGAATTTAAAATGGAACCATCAGCAACATTTTGATTCAGTGCCTCTCCTATAGAGATGAACTAAAGGTATTTAATTCTTTTTTTCCCCCTGGAATGTTTTTCTCTGAAGCTCCCCAGCATATTTTACCCATTTTTGAGTTAACTCCCCTTTGCCAGCTTTTTCCTCCACACCAGATATGCTGCTGTTCTGCTCCACTTTCACAGAGTTAATCCTGCTGACTGATGGACAGAATCCTGAGCTCCTTTACATAATTTCTGTGTAATATTTCATTAGGTTGGAAAGAATAAAAAGGGTTCTTTCTATAGCTTCTAGTAAGTTGCCAAGAAGCAGTTTTTCAATGGTGGGATCTGTTTGAACCTTTGTGATCATAATTCCCTCAGAAGTCAGAAACATTGTGGTGTTTGTAAACAGGTGCATCACATCTGAGAAGCAAAATTCTGGACAATCTCTAGATGGTGGCAATGAGTTAAGAGTTTTGTGTATTTCTTTTCTGCTATTTTAGTGGAAATCCATATTTTTGCAGCCCAGCTATGCTAGCCCTAGTTAAATACTGAATCTTTAAATGCTTAACTAAGTCACAATCTTTGAGGGAGATGGATAGTTTAGAAATATGAAATATATATAAATAAATAATCCTCAAACCCTACAAAAGCCCTAGAAGGCTCTTTCTCTCCACAGCTTCAATTGACAAGGTTCTTTATTTAACTCTTATTTATAGCTCACAGCTTTTTATCACTCAGCACAAAGCACAGGCTCCCATGTGGCTTCTTTTGCCATTTACATGATAATATGGAATTTAACTGTGTAATTTTTTTAGCGTGTATGTCAGCATGAGTTTTGTAGCTTACTCAGATGCAGTGCCTCAGACTTTTCACCTAATGAAAATACATTTAAATAATATAGCAGTGGCAGCATACATTTAAAACCATCTGTAAAGGTAAAAGGCAGTGCCGTAAACATCCCAAGATCTTTGTTTAAGCTTTCTGGAAATCTCAACTGGATCACAGCTTTGGCGGCTTAACAGATGATTCATCTTCCTTGCCACGGTGTCAAAACTAAGTCTCAGATAATTGTACCTTTCCGAAAGAATCATGGGCGTATGCTTTGATGATCAGTGATGATCATTTCAAATGATACAACAACATTGGGTTCAGAAATGAGGGGCTACTTGGAAAGAAGAGAAGAAACAGAGAAAGAAAGCTGCAAGGTGTGGAAAAAATGGCTTCCTAAGGGACAATAAGGGTTGGATTATACATTCCGGAAGACTTGGTTCAGACATCATGTTATAATGCTTTTAACCATGAGTTGAATAAGAAATATTCTGATTTAGTATTCTTACTGAATAAGCAATATTCTAGAATGCTCATAGCATGAAGCTACAAATCATCACTTGCAATCATAGCAGGATACTGAGCCAAAACATAAACAATACAGAGTGATATGCATTTTGTCCTCGTTGGCTCCTATTCTCTAGGTTTGATGATTCTAACGTTACATTCAGAAATAATTGCTCTTTCAGTTGAATAGCAAAAGCAAATAGACTTATATACAGTTTAATAGTGATTTACAACATTCTCTGGTTGGTTTACAGAATCAGCATATTGCCCCCGATAATCTGGGTCCTCATTTTATCGAGAAGGATGGAAGGCTGAGTCAACCTTGAACCAGTCAGAATCGAACTGGAGTGAGCAGTGAGTTAGCCTGCAGTACTGCATTCTAACCACTGCGCCACCAGGGCTACTATGAAACTGGGTTTGAATGAAGTGTTTTTATATTCTGTCATCAGATTTCAGTGGGACTCTCATGTACCTGAATATTCCCTAGATTATCTCTAGAAAACTAGAGAGAGAGAAATAGTTCTAGCCTAACATTCTGTATCGAGCTTACTGCAGATCTGAGTAACCTCTGATCTTAACTTGGTTCCTCTGACTTCACAGTTTATGATATTCTAAGGTTACCAATGAGCTTGGCTTATGCAGTTTCACATTTGGAGAACAATTTGAAGAACAGAAGTGTGGCTTCCTGGGCAAAGGCTTTTCAATGGGCACAATTTAATCAACTGTTTTCAGCAGCATTTAGGTTACAGGCAAGGTAGGGCAGGTAGCTTTAGCCTTGCATATCTTTGAATTTATCTTGACACTGAATTGGAAACACTTCATTTTGCAAAGGCCAAAGTAAAAGGTTTTAAACAAGAATTGCATTGCATTCTGATTTATTTTTATAAAACTAGATCCTAGTACTTGTTGCTGTTATTTCCTCAAATTTAGTAGCAGAAAGTAAAAAAATGAAACATCACATATGAAACTAGATTCATTAATAATTTTCTGGTTAAAATTCTATAGAAATGCATCCCGAATTAGTTGGTGAAATTAATAGTATTTCAAATGGTATTGCCCTGATTAAAATGGACTCGATACAGGATTTTTTTTAAAAAATATCCTTTTCACAAAGAAAACAAGAGTAATATATCTGCTTTGTTTTACTTTTTAAAAAAGCATCAATTTTCCAATCTTAACTTACTCAGAACTGAAGGATGTTTACAGGAGGCCGAAGCAAAAAAAGGCTAATAGTTTTGTGCATAGTGTGTGGTTAAATAAAATTTATGGCTTAGCGCAATGAGACAGGATATATATATTTAAGACATCATTCACTTAACTACAGTTTCTCAAATCAACCACAGTTTGCTGTATTCACACCTTTGCTTATGTGCAGATCAAATATTTAAATAAAAACATTCTCTGATCATTGAAATAATTATATAAAAATGAAATATTGTGAAATCGTCTACAAGTTTTTATTGAAATCATTTTGTAACAATGACTAAATATAAGCACTTTTGCTAAACTGCAAGTTCTTTAATTCGTTTATTAAATTATAATAGCTGTTTCACACACCATATCATAAATCATGATTTACAAACCACAATGTGCTGGATTTGCACAAAATGCTTCAACAAAACCATGCAAACGACAGTACAGGTTAAGATAATGTGGGAACTCAGCCAATGCATATAACTTTACACCCTAATTTTTAAAGTTGTTTTTAATTTTAGGGGGGAAATGTTTCTAACCTGAATTTAATTTTGTTCCCTATTGGTGTCAAGAAAATTACACGGTCCTTTTCATGAAGTGGCTAAAAGTAATTTTTCATAAGGAGATACTAAGTTTTTTAACAGACTTCAGAGTGAGACATAAAGATTTTCTTATTCTCTCCTTGCAGTCATCTACCGATAGTAGGTGTCTGATATTTTGGCACCCCAAAGCGATAGGTCCAGTTTAAGATGCTGGTTACTCTCCAACAGTAAATATTGTTATTTACTGGATTATCAATTACTGATAATTTCTACTGGTCCCATAATATCAGGAACAGTGGGCATGCTCCAGATCCCTTCAATTAAACAATATTATTTAATGAGGCCTAGGAAGTGTGCCTTCTCAGTTGCAACCCCAACCTTCAGGAATGGCATCTCCTCAGATATTCGTATGACTCTCACCTTGATGATGTTTAGAAAATCTCTGCAAATCTGGTTCCTAAGCCTTGGGGCAGCAACTCCCAAGCCATGGATAAGGTTGCAGTTGAATTCTTCTGGGGTTTTAAAAATCAGATTGTTTTTTCTAAACATTTATGATCTTATACTCTTACTATTATTGCTCACTTTTAAAATGCTAAGCCACTCAGAGACTATGGAGCCTTCAATTTTAAAAATTAATTAAAATGTTACCAAAGTAAATTAAATGATTAAACAAACTACCATACTTGTAGAAATCTGCCCCAGTAAGGAAAAG